TCGCTATAACCACTTTCGTTACATCCCTATTAATGACCGAAACGTTTATTGTGATTAGTTATGATAATGATATGAATAAATTATTTATTTTATAATAATTTATTACATTTATAATAATTTATCACAAATAAGAACTTGTGTGTGGTTTTATGCTCTGTTCAGGAATCCGAGCAATTAGATTTAAATCCATTTAGAATTCTCGGAGAAAGCGTTGCGATCGCAAAGCGCGTTATTATTGTCGTCAATTTCCGCGACCGTTTAGTCCTCGACAAAAAAACCAGCGTTCGCCTAAATCAGCTGTTCCGGCACAGCTATTCATTCCGTCTCCAACCATCGGCAAGACAACAGTTTTCGCGACATAGAGCTCGTCGTATTTACCGCTTTCGAATAGACAAAGCATTCGTGTCTTATTCGTGAATTCCGTTCAGTCTCTATCAGACTTCAAGTATATTGTGTGCTTAAATAAGACGCTTGTTACAGTTCAGATTGTTCAAAGTTCAGTTCTATTCAATAAAATACTTTTGGTAACTCAGTGGGAGTAATTGGTCGCATTATTTGTTCTTTATTTCGACGCCGACCCTTTATATAAGGGCTGTACTAGCATCCAACGCACGAGCAACGTTGTTGCGCATTCTTCAGTCGTGCCCGCACATGCTCATTGTATGAAATTATTGTTTTTGAATCTAACAACGTTTTTACTTTTTGTGAAAGTTATTAAATAATATAGTATTTATTATTATATTTTACAGAAAATTGTTGAAGGTTTATTTATTAGATTATTAGTTCAAAATGTTAATTGTATCGTTTTACGTCAATTTGTACTAGATATTGCAATAACAATCTTTTCATATTTTACCAAATATTTAAATATTTTTATATTTTATTATATATCTATATAAATTATTAATTTACACAGGATACATATAAGGAAGGATATATTTGTTGTATGGAATATTTAAAAATTGGCAAATCTTATACTTCTGCAAAAATATATTTTATTATACATATTTTATAAAAAATTCATAAAGTGAGGTTTAATTTCCAGAATTATTTTACTATACTATACATACTTCCATTACTGATATACATTTTAGAATAAAATACACAATAATTATTAGAATAATAGTTATCGTATGTATCTCTTTGTCTTTATGCACTCTGTTTTTATTAAGTTCATACTCAAATTCGCAAAATTGTTCCGATTACCTCTGAACAGGCACCAAAATCCGATTAAGCTAGGGAGCTTAATGAAATGCACCAATTGAAGGCATGTTCCGATATGCACTGCCAGTACTGAAAATCTATAGTATACGTAACGTAAACTATAGATTTTGAGTACTGGCAATGCATATCGGAACACGGCCTGAGTACCACTGTTCGATCGGATTAGAAATCCGACCATTTGTCGTAAACACCCACTATTAGTGCCACTAGTAGTAAATTTAAAACTGCATTTCTATACTATATATACTAGTCACGAGCAGTGTTACTACCTTATGACTAGACTCTGTCAGAGAGTCTCTATTCCGATATATTCCTGATTCCTCCTAATTACTCCGAACGAAATGCTGATTAAGGGTGCGTTCAGGAATTATGCTCAGATAACTTTAGGTACATTTTTACTATAATATATATGTAACGTAAGCTATAGCCTACAATTACCTAGGCGTAATTTCTGAACGTAGCTTAAAAGGTGCGGTATGCTAGCAGCTCTCTCTCTCTCTCTCTCTCTCTCTCCCCCCTTCTCTTATTTATCTCGAGCCAGGGCCTCGTGATTCTCAACGAAATAACGCATCGATTTTTGTCGACTGAATCAAACACCTGCGATCGCCGGTGTCGTCAACGATCTAAGAACATTTCTGAATCTAGCAATCATGCCTTGTATACAATTAATTCAATTACAGTGATCTTTAGAGTGCAGCCACAATATAGAAGGAATAAAGAATTAGAAATAAGGAATAAGAAATTTCAGTCTATCAGAAACTATGTACGAGGGCGGTCCGATAAGTACTTAGCCTCAACGCCCGATGGCTTTTCTATCGCAAGAGAAATTTACTAACGTGTAGTACATTCTCGTAGACGGCTACTGTCAAAATATCAGCCGAATCGGACTCGTAGTTTTGTTTTGACCGCGTGTGGAAGCGGGCGTGTCCGCGGATTTTAGAAAAATGGAAAAAGAGCAATATCGGTCGGTGCCACGGCCAAATTGGTCGAATTGGGCTACGAGCTGCTGCCCCATCCACCGTACGGATTTATGTTATTCAATATTCTAGAACCTTGGTTCTATCGCAATATTCTGCAGTATACACTATATATGCGAAAACAATAATTCAACAAAGAAAAGATGTTAATAATTGCTTACTGAACATAAAAAGTTGTTATTTATAATGTTTCTAAAATATATATCTAATTATTAAACTTGTCCATAATTTACATCACATCTATTATTTGAGAATATATTTTCATGTCTCACAATTTACATCACTATGTTATACGTACAATATATTATATCTATATACATATGTCTGTTATTTTAATTTATAATACAAATACTATGTTGAAATAATGTTTTCACTGCATACTCTTTACAATTAATGCGACCCGGGCACGCCAAGTTTTTTCTTCACTATAATACAGTTGACAATTATAGTCACTTTCGGTCTGTCTTATGTGACTGGCGTAATGAAGAATGCACTTGGTCAATTATATTTATCTCATATCTGTTTTGGATCAAGAAGTTCAATATCTTTCTTATGCACTTGGCGTATGTTTTTTTATTTTTTTTAAAAAAGGTTTTTTTATGAGATAGAATATAACCGAAATAATCCGTTGTGTTGATGCTTCTAGTACCTTCTATACCGTTATTGGAAAAGAAAGATACAAAGGTAGGGTTCCCTACAAGGGGGGCTACGTAAGTACAAAGAACGACTACCTGAAGCGGCCCTACCTGCTGTGCGCTCGAGTCTGTAGCCTGTACCCGATAAACGCTCGGTTCTATGATCATAAAATCTAAACGAATGCGAATTTCGTTTTAAAATTTTGGCAGCGTATTCTTGGATTGTTAAGCTAACGATTTATGCAATAAAAAAAAATCGATTTTGTGAACCTCCTAATGTGGTTTCCCCCCTTAAAGTGAGAAAACGAAATGTAATAGATAGCCTAATAAGAGGCGCAGAAAAATTGAAAAAGTATTTTTACCTCGATAACAAATAGAAAATCATAGAGACTCCAGCAACATACTTGACGCGCCCGTTTTGTTCAGTAATATAGCCATATATACATCTCTCTCTTTCTCTTCAGATTATATATATATATATTAGGGTGTATCGAATTTTCAAAAATTTTACGGAGTAGCGATAAAATGATAGTCTAATATGCACTATTCACGAAAATTGATATAAAAAAAATTAAAAAAAATATTTAGCATTCGCGCACGCGCCTCCAATACAGCGTTTTTTGACGTTTTTTTATTCATCTCTCCGTGACTCAGTCATTTTTCAACTTTTCTTTTTTTTTTTTTTTAATTTGTGCCCAGAGTATGTACCTTTCAAACCCATATCACAAAAAATTTTTTGAAATTTTTCTGAGCCCTGGAAAAATCGCTAAATATGACCACTTTTGATCTAATTAATGGTTAATTATAAATTTAATACAATGCATCATATAGCGATTTTCACTGGCCGCATTAGTGTGGCATAATGTGCACTGAATGTATCTCTGGATGCGTTCTTTTTAGCGATAAAACGATAGTTCAGTATGCACTATTCACGAAAATTGATACAAAAAAAATTAAAAAAAATATCTAGCATTCGCGCACGCGCCTCCAATACAGCGTTTTTTGACGTTTTTTTTATTCATCTCTCCATAACTTAGTCATTTTTCAACTGACAAAAGTGAAATTTCGCAGGTCTGTGTTATTAACCATTAATTTGATCAAACGCGGTCATATTTAGCGATTTTTCAAGGGCTCAGAAAAATTTCAAAAAATTTTTTGTGATATGGGTTTGGAAGGTACGTACTCTGGGCACAAATTAAAAAAAAAAGAAAAAAAAAGTTGAAAAATGACTAAGTTATGGAGAGATGAATAAAAAAACGTCAAAAAACGCTGTATTGGAGGCGCGTGCGCGAATGCTAGATATTTTTTTTAATTTTTTTTGTATCAATTTTCGTGAATAGTGCATACTGAACTATCGTTTTATCGCTACTCCGTAAAATTTTCGAAAATTCGATACACCCTAATATATATATATATATATATAAACTTCAGATTATATATATACAAAATCTATTTTATATACATATATATATATAATCTGAAGTTTATTACATTCCCTTCTGAAAACCTCTTTTGAATATTCAATTTTATGATGTTTTTAGAATTATAGGCAAAAAAGGGCTATATGTCTAACGAACTTATTTTATGACTCATCTTTAACGGACTCTTGCATGAGTCATCGTCACTTTCTCCAGTTTTTCCCTACCCCGTTTACGTACATTTTTGGTATTTTAAAATCTTACGTTATTGGTTGGAGCTCTGATAGAAGACTCCACCTCTTTAGTCAATAAAAAGATCCTTCCAGTTCAGTTCGATTTAGTCTAATTTCGTAAGCCGTACTCTCGTCATCAACCTTAGATCGCTAGTCTGTAAGTTCAATTGTAACACCGTTGAATAAAGGTTGGTGAAAAGACAGTCGTTGAATTATTACAGTCTCTTCTCATTATTAGAAGTTGCGGCGTTCTGCGTTCGTAACAACGCACGCACGCACGTATATATATATATATATATATATTTAGAATTTTAAATTTTTTCAAAAAATAAATGCAAAGTTTATATATATGTAAATTTACATATAAATTTTGCATTACTTTTTTGATAAAATTTTAAATTCTAAATTTTTTACAGCTGACTCGAATGAATATTTTGTTGCTACCAAGAATGAATTGAATAAAGAAGAGGAAGCAGAGCAGTAGTAATAGTAGAAAAAGTAAAAGAAGAAAACATGTTATCGGATAATTTAGAAACAAAGAAACCGCCTCCTAATTGCTTCATTGTGGAGGAAGTAATAAATCGACAAATAGGTAGTAATCCGTTATTCCAAAGAAGATTTTGTAGTTCTTTACATGCAGTAAATCGACTGGAGTTTAAGTACAAACTCTATGACCTTGAGGTAAATTATTTATTTTATTACATGTTGACTTTTTATGTACAATGTTTTATACATTACTTTTAGATCATTATTATAGATATTTTTTAAATCATGTATAGCGATATGTATTAAAATTTCGTTATTATTTATAGGATGTGACGGCCTTAAGTTTCAATCAAAAAGGAAACTTATTAGCAAGAGCCTCTGAAGAGACAATTTCTATTTGGGATTGGGCTGCAAGGAAAAAGCGTTGTTGCCTTCCAAGTGATTTCCTAATAAGCGAGGTATGTATAATATTTATATTATATAATAAAGTATTGCTATTTGAATGTTTTGTAATAGTTATTCTGATTTAATTGTATTTTTTTATTAATCTTTTCAATTTAATAATATATGTGTTTAGGCCAAATGGCTGCCTTTAGACGTAGAAAATTTTATGGTCACTCGTGGTTTCTATGGTGATATACATTTATTAGATCTTGAATACAACTCATGGAAACAAGTGTTGCACTATGAATCATCCTTTCATGATTCGGTACCACGTAGACAATTTTTTAATAATGACAGGTCATTGTCTGTGCATCCTGAAATACCCTATGTCGTGTTTTCTGCTGGAAACGGTTCGATTTCATCCATAGATGTCCGGGAGGATACATCAAAGTAAGATATTGTTATTAAAAAGTTCACATGTAATAATGTTTCTTATATATTCTTTGTTTATAGCACGCAGAATGTCTACATATAATATTAATTTTTTTTCTACCAAAAATCGTTGTATTGGCTGTGTTCAGCAAACTCAACAGTTTTGCAACCGTTTTATAATTCGTCTCGCTGATTGGATTATACTTTTTGATCTAAAGAAATAGTCCTATCTCAACGAAGAGTCATAAAATAATTATAAAACTGTTGAGTCTGCTGAACGCGACCATTATCTGGCGTTAAGTGTAGCACGGGATCGTCCTGTGTACTTATATGCGAATCAATCACATTGTGATTGAAAGATGACTGGACCGTTATGACAGCTATAGCCCGGTTCAACCAAAGTAATATTGATTTATTTCGGTTCAACTTACTGTTAATCTTTTCCTAATTCTCATAATTGTTTCTGTTTTTTTAATTCCAAGAATTAGAAAAACAGGAACAATAAGTTAAACCAAAATATACTTATATTGTTTGCACCGGAGTTAATGCCTATTTTCAAAATGTAGATTAATTTTAATCTTGGTTCAACTTATACTTTGGACAAGAAAAAATGATAAGAATCTTATTGAATCGTACATTTGAAACTCAACAAACGGAAAATAGGATATGCTGGCATAAAAGATCCAGGTTCGACCATTATAACAAAAAAAGTTGAAACAAAATTAAATTTAATCTACGTTAATTAGTAGAAATGAGAATAAGTCGATTAAATTCTACATAGACGCAATACTAAATTTTGACAATATTCAATACTAAAGACCGTTAATATGTGTAAGAACATAACTAATACAAACACGAACCTTACAACAGTCTAGCTTGGATCTCTAATCGCTTACATGTACCGCGGTACTATCACGAATTAAAACAAATGAATAATTAACTAATATACGTAGTCCCCCCAAACTGCGTGTCGAACCATCGTTGGTCTTGAAACGCAATTCTAATAATCTGAAAATACTAAATCTGGAAATAATTCTTCTTATTGTGAGAAATATTACATCGGCCGGGAGTCGAACCCGGATACCTTGCTGTACGCGCAAGTGTCCTAGCTAATTAGACTACCGAGGCCATAGTAATATTCCTCGCAATAATTTATTTTAATTGGTGATAATACCGCAGTAGTTTATATGTAAACGATTAAAGATCCAAGCTAGACCGTTATAGGATTCATGTTTGTATTAGTTATACTAATAAATTTTGAGTTTACATGATAAAAGTGTTTATTTTTGTTCTTTAATACACATGTTATATATACTAATATCCATTATAATATTAAATACATTTATGTTCATATCCATAGATTGCTCGATATAAAGAAATTTCGAAATAGTACGTTAACAAGTATACATTGTAATCCTTCTAATAGTAATGAAGTTTGTGTCAGCGGTCATTTTCCCTGCGTAAGGGTGTATGATCAGCGAAATATTTCGAAACCACTTTATCAATTGTGGACCACCAAGTATGACAAGGTATGTATTAGTTTGATTCAAACCTATTGCTGAAAAGTTTATCAATATTTAAAGAAATACTACAGTGTTTATGTTTTTTACATGAGTTTTAATTACATATGTAATTTAAATGTATTAGAAGGAGTATTATAACGTCTGTGCAACAATCGCCATGTATAATCACGATGGGACAGAGATTCTCACATTGCGTGATATTTCCAAAATATTATTATTTGATAAATCAATGTGGTCATGTGAAGGAAATTCGAATCATACATTATTTGAAAGCAATCAATTTAGTTCTGTACCTGGTGTACCTGCTATGGTAGCCAATAGATATGCTAGAAGTAATTATATTATTATTATATTCCCGGTATTTTACTTTTTTTATTTTTAGAACTATTTATTTTAAGTATATTTCAAAAGAGAAGTAGCATACAGTAACATTATTGAATGGTATATTTGTTAATTAATTTTTATTCTGAGATTATTGTTTAAATATTTTTTATGTACATTTTTCATATTTTTTTCGTCTATGTAATTGAAAAAGCGACGCTTTAAATAATTATAATATGATTTATTAATAGTAGATATTAAGTTGTCTTAGTTATGTGTTGTGATTGCAGGTACACTTGGAATCAATTTTTTCGGACCTAAAAGTGAATTTATTATATCTGGATCCGATTTTGGTGATATATTCATTTATGACAAGAAGAAAAGAACTGCGGCACAGTGGTTAAGAGAAGATTACGAATGCGTAAAGTGTTTTCATTTTGTGCATTTGATAAACAAATTTTTCTTCTTCGTAGTATGTGTTGCACAAAATAACTTTTATTCATTTAATGTATAGACGTCGAGACATCACTGCTTAGGTCATCCCCATATTCCTATCCTTGCAACGGCAAGTGAGTCCAATGTCCTGATATGGATGCCTTCGAGCAATGAAGATACAACAAAATCAATATTTAGGACTGTATGTATAGAATTATCTGTGTTTTTTTGCCTTTCTTTTTCTTGCTTAATCATATAATTTAATAAATAAATAACATAATTTTTAAAACAACGTCACTAAAATAAGCAATATATTTGAATACAATAAATTAGTGGCATCAATAAACCATAAAATTATGTAATTTTTGTACCGACCGTAAATTGTCTACAAACAATGAAGGAATTAAACGCCTATAACGGTCAAAGCTGGATCAAAGTGCTAATAATAAGTATGAGTGAATTCTTATATACCACATATGTAGCCCCCCCTTTAAATGCGCGCTGATACATCAGACATATAACGCATAAATACTACAGTAGTATTATAATATCACCGAATAATACTTGATTAATTTAAATATAAGGATGATAATTTAAAATTCGTAAATACATCGGATCTCAATAATCTTATTCTTTATATTACGAAAAATATCACAAGTTGGCGTTTCGTCCCGGTTTCCACTACTGGACTCATCAGTAAGGCAATGTAATGGAAACCTACCTTAGACGCCTTGGGGAGATGTTAGAAAGAAGTTCTATATAAACAATCACTCACATAATTCGGCACTTGCGAGAATTGGAATGAGTAACTATAGACCTCTGTTGGCTAGTCGACGTAGTGATATTCTCCGTAATGTTGTTAATATTTAAATATGTAATTAAAGCGCATTTTTTAGGCCGCGCGAGTTAAACTAACTAATTTTTGTACCGACTGTAAATTGTCTACAAACAATGAAGGAATTAAACATTAAATGAAGAACTTGTGATATTTTTCGTAATATAAAGAATAAGATTATTGAGATCCGATGTATTTACGAATTTTAAATTATCATCCTTATATTTAAATTAATCAAGTATTATTCGGTGATATTATAATACTACTGTAGTATTTATGCGTTATATGTCTGATGTATCAGCGCGCATTTAAAGGGGGGGCTACATATGTGGTATATAAGAATTCACTCATACTTATTATTAGCACTTTGATCCAGCTTTGACCATTATAGGCGTTTAATTCCTTCATAAAATTATGATTTATGCACTTCCTGTTCTTCACAAGTACTTACATCAAGTTCAGTACAATAGAAAGCAAGCATATAACGATTTCTCAAGTTACGTCTGGATAAATGGGTCAAAGGTAGGATTGTCTCGCGATTGGGCAATCTACATTATACAAAATAGTTTATGAGGGCAGATGCTTCAAGAGGCACGTAGATCATATCCGCGCCTTTAGTGAGAAAAAAGCTGAGGACCAGTCTAATGGCACGAGGCCAAAAGAGAAGGATAAGCCTCGTAAAGTTCATTTTTATGATAACGATATCACAAACATTCCACAATAAAGCTAATTTGCAGGTACCACCGTCACCACGAGGACCACCTTCACCACCGATTCCGTCCACTCCAGAGGAGCGTTATTGGACATTACCCGCAACTCCACCTTCACAAACGTCTCCGCCACATCGAGTACAGTCACCTCAAATCGTACGGAGATCTACGAGACCTCGCCACCCTCCACTACGTTATACACCAAGCTAACGGCATTGTCCTTAGAAATCCATGTACTCTAATTACAAAAAAGGGAAGAAGAGTATCGTATATGCAACTTACCATCAGCGATCGTTACGTTACCGACACGGAATTTACGGTTGTCGCTACTTTCTGTCTGACTGCCTGTCTGTTTTTGTGTCTGTTGCATACAATAAAACAGTCTTTGTATACCTCTTAATATTACGGTCTTCTTCTTATAATCACCCACATAAATTCAATACACAAAAATTTCTTTTTCCGATTACTTGCATTACAAAGATATACATATTTGTCATAAAGAGTTTGTGAAAGTAAGTTTATTCGCCTTATTTACATTTTTTACACTAAGCATCTTTGTCTTCTTTCTCTTCACCCACACACACACACACGCACGCACGCACGCACGCACGCACGCGGGCACACACACACACACACACGCGCACGCACGCACGCAAGCACGCACGCACGCACGCACGTCCAATATATGTCAGGAAATAGAAAGTTACTCGTTTTAAAATTAAAGTTACAGTTACTCGTTACGGAATAAAGAAAGTTACGAGTTACCGTTACTAATTATCGCATTTTGAAAGTAACTCATTATAGTTACCGTTACTCGAAAGGTAACTTTTCGTTACTTTTCCGTTACTTTATCTGAAAATGTACTTTTGCAGTATTTTTTGTTCAAACGTTATTAAAAGCGATATACATATAGAAGGATTATGCAATAATGGCCATGTATAATCACGATGGGACAGAAATTCTCACATTGTGTTATTATTCCAATATATTATTATTTGATAAATCAATGTAGTCATGTGGAGGAAATTCGAATCATACATTATTTGGACGCAATCAATTTAGTTCTGTACCTGGTGTACCTGCTGAGATAGCCGAGACTGCCAAGAGACATGCTAGACGTAATTATATTATTATTATATTCCCGGTATTTTACTTTTTTTTATTTTTAGAACTCTTTATTTTAAGTATATTTCAAAAGAGAAGTAGCATACAGTAACATTATTGAATGGTTTATTTGTTAATTAATTTTTATTCTCAAATTATTGTTTAAAGATTTTTTTATGTACATTTTTTATTTTCTTTTCGTCTAAGTAATTGAAAAAGCGACGCTTTAAATAATTATAATATGATTTATTAATAGTAGATATTAAATTGTCTTAGTTATCTGTTGTGATTACAGTTATAGATGGAATCAATTTTTTCGAACCTAAAAGTGAATTTATTATATCTGCATCCGATTGTGGTGATATATTCATTTATGACAAGAAAAAAAGAACTGCGGCGCAGTGGTTGATAGAAGATTACAAATCCGTAAAGTGTTTTCATTTTGTGCATTTGATAAACAAATTTTTCTTCTTCGTAGTATGTGTTGCACAAAATAACTTTTATTCATTTAATGTATATATGTTATTGAGTCATCACTGCTTAGGTCATCCTCATATTCCTATCCTTGCAACGGCAAGTGGGTCCAATGTCCTGATATGGATGCCTTCGAGGAATAAAGATCGAAAAAAGTTTTCGACTGTATGTATAGAATTATCTGTGGTTTTCTTGCATTTGTTTTTCTCGCTTAATCATATAATTTATTAAATAAATAACATAATTTTTAAAACAACGTCACTAAAATAAGCACTATAGTTGAATACAATATATTAGTGGTATCAATTGTTGTTCAGGGCCGGGATTCTCTAAACGTTTTATCGATGATTGTCGCTATCGTTAACTATAGCGACAACCAATGGCATGAAAATCCTAAGAGAAAGCGCGGCTCTCATTGACTGTCGCTAGTTAACGATAGCGACAATCATCGATAAAACGTTTAGAGAATCCCGGCCCAGGAATCAGAGCCATTAGGAATTCTCAGAGAAAGCATTGCGATCGCCAAGCGAGTTATTATTGTCGTCAATCTCCGCGACCATTTAGTCCTCGACAAAAAACCAAGCGTTCTCCGAAATCAGCTGTTCCGGCACAGTTAGTCATTCCGTATCATTCGCAAGATAACAGTTTTCGCGACATATAGCTCGTCTGTCGTATTTACCGCTTTAGAAAAGAAAAAGCATTCGTTTAACGTTCATGGATTTCGTTCCGCATTCACAAGTGCGGAAGTATATTGTGCGCTTTAGACGCATGTTACAGCGTCACAAGACTGTAACGATGCATCCCTCCCACGCATCGTTCCGCCAAACGTCAGCCGGCCGAACGCCGCTGCATCGCCCTGCGATGCAGCGATGAGGGCGCATAGCGCCCGAAAATATAACACAAACATAATCCACAGGTACCACGCAACGACGAAAACCACCGAACGTCGCCGAGCGCGATCGGTTGTGGCAGACCCCCACCGCACAACGATTAACGCTCCGCGAAACGAACCGAAGTAAGACGAGCGCGATTTCTACAGATAGATAAAACGTCGCGTTCGTGGCAAAACGGGACCAATCTTTCCTGCTCCGTTTCCGAGGAAACATTCCCCGAGTCCTAAAGCCGACCGAGTCAAGGAAAACGAGCCTTACGAGAGAGTACTCTAGCTCGACCGGGCGTTCCCGGTAGACGAAAATCGGCATCCTCACGTACCGCACGACACAACAGGGGGTAGAGGGTACTCTACCTCTGCCGAGTGTTCTCGGTAGTCGCGCGGTACACCATAGCGACTACCCCGACGTACGGGGGTGGAGGGTACTCCGCCTCCGCCGAGCGTTTTCGGCCGTCGGCTAGCGTCGCCGTTATTTTACGTGATTCCACGCGGTCGCCCAGTAATAGTACGAGGTGGAGTGTTCTCCGCCTCTGCTGAGTGTTCTCAGCCACTGGACTCCCGTGGAATCCGTCGCGAACTAACCGGCACTCGAACGTGCCTACGAAACACCGCCGCGAACTACCCGACGCGATCTCCAGTAATTGACAGCAATCAGCTGATTAGCTATAAGAAAGCAAACACGATACAAATAGACCATCTCGCGATATAACACAGTGGCAAGCATTAGCGCTACCACTACACTACACACTCACACAGACACGTCAGAGAATTATAGCTAGGTATTCGCGCCGACCGGCCTAGCCGGCACTTGTAAACACAATCGCACACACACGCACACACACATACGCATCACTCATATTTGTACATAGCCGTAAGAAACGAGCAAATAAAAACTAGATATCGCTTTCACTTTAAAAACGTCTGAGATCTTTTTCTTTGTGCACTCTTCCCCGATCGAACCTCTTTCGAATCCTGAGATACGTAAAAACGACGAGCTAACTGCGTGCAGTCGAAAGTAAGGTCGTTACAAGACTGTGAAACTTTGATTTGTGTAAAAATAAAATAATGTTGTCAGCTCATTGCGGCCGATAGACGCGTGCGAATATTGCCCTATCACATATCTCCACCTGCATAGATATCTAAATAGAAACGGCGAGGAATACGATAGTATAACGGAATCGATTGTTGTTACCACCAGCGAGCGACGTTTTCCCGCTGGTACAATAATATCGGCACGTATAATAATTTTCTCGCTTTCCCTGTTATAGAAAAAAACACCAAAGGAGCGCACACAGTGGAAAGGGATAAAACGTAAACCCGTCGGAATAATCACGTTGGACTAAGGACAATAAACACATATACTTTCTTTTTTTTTCTTCTGTTTTTTTGTTTCACGTTTTCTTCAAAGTCCTTTCCCTGCTTTTCCCTTACCAGTACTGTGTTGACAGCGAGCCAACACCACGCAAGCAGTGAAGCATGCATATATCACACATACGCACTAATATTCCGCTATAGAGAATATCGTACGCAGCACGCGCAGAGGCCGTCGTGTCCTACGGATAATCTGAAAAAAAAAAGAAAAAAAAGTCTGATTTGATATTAAACGTTCAAATAGAGAGAATAGAATTTTCTTTTGTTCAATCTTCACCTTTCACGAGCCGTTGTTCTTGATATATTATTATTGTTATATTACTACTTTAATAAAGTCGAATTGCGATTCCGGTGCGATAGCATCTTGCTAATTAACAGCTTATTGATATGATTAAATTCTTGGTTATTATATTAACTTCTACCGTGCTCTGGCTTCGCCGTGGATTCTCGAATATATTCTGCCGTCTCTTTGCTAGTAAGATGGATAGTTCGGGCAATAGCATCGCGCCTACGCGAGAAGAATTAAATTCTCGTTTACTGCAAGACCTGCAAAATGAATATGAACAAGCTATTAAATCGGCAAAAGCGAGAGAGCAAGAATTAAATGCGCGCGCAGAAACTTTTAGAAATACCATGCGAACCGTCGCGGAAGTGTTAGCGGGTCTTCAAGGTCCGGATTTCGCGGCGTCCACTTAGGACCTATAACTCCGGTCGAAGGGCCACCACCTCTTAATCTCACGGGAATTTCTATTGGAATAGAAGCGATTTCGAGTCCTACACCGGACGCTACTTTCGCGACCGCTTATGCCGCCTACCCGAAATCGTACGTCCGCGATGCATTAGAAATGGTGCCAAAGTACGACGGCCACAACATTCCGGTTTGGCAATTTGCACGCGCCTGTAAAAGGGCGAAAGACTCGATACCGCAACTCGACGAAGCGTTGTTAGTTCGAATGCTAAGAAATAGGCTTTCACATCACGCGTATTTGATGGTAGAGGATGAAGTGCACTTTACTGTTAGTAAACTTTTAGATACTATGAAACGGACATTCGGCCCGGGTTGGAGCTCAAATTATTATCGCGGTCAACTAAGTATAGTGTTTAAAAAACATAACGAACATATACTTGCGTCTATATCGGTCGTATAAAGGACTTGCGTACTGCAATAATTGAAGGAGATCAAGTAAACCTCGATCGCACAAAACCGAAATTTCTTGTATTGCCGCCTTACAGGATATATAACGTTCGATTCAAAATTTTTTATATTTTAGTAATTATGCACCTCCCAAAAATGGACTTTGGTGGCTCGGGATAAGAAACTTGTAGCGTCTCACAGTTTTTGAACATGCCCGGAGACGCTACCGCGTCT